TCCTTCAGTCAAAGGAGACTGATGTAAGCCAAGTGCATTCATTTCAGATGAAAAAAATGAGTGTTGATTGAAGATCATCCTGATGAAATTTTGAAGGTTGCAAGTTGTGAGTGTAAACTTTAAAATCAGATTTTTGAGAAACTCTTTGCAGGCAGGCTTCATTTCATGTGTAAATAATAAATAGACTGATAGAAAGATTGATTCAATAGTTCATGAAAGAAATGGACAATTTTAGAGTTGAAAACTTTTAATGATTCTCTGGGCAAATCAGAAATGGTTGTTACTCAGAAGCAGTTTGGTGTCTACCAAAACTTAAATCTTTCTATGCTTTTAAGCATACAAAGATTTAAACAAAGATTTTTTAGACAGAAAATAATGAACATAGTTGAAAACTCCTTTCAAGAAATAGATCTGGTTGGATTGGAGGAGTCAGGTATTTTATTTTTTCTTCAGAAACTCACATTAAAAAAGAAAAATTTTGTTTTACATCTTGTGGCTATACAAATTTAAATATTTTTCTCATTTCAAAGAATAAACTTCATTATAAACGATATTTCTTTTTCTTTTAAGATTAAAAATTCAGATTAAATTATTTTTATTTTATTTTTTTGGTACAAATCTACTTTGGTCAAATTTATGATGACACAAACATGACTTAACAAAACAAAAAAAAAAATCAGTGTTTTTATGTGATTGATGGATTTAAGTAGATTATTTAAATTACAAAATAAAAGTTGTCAATTGATTATAATTCATAAATCAAGCATTACAGCTGAAAAAATTTTTGTGTGAAAAGCTGCTAATAAATTTTGCAATTTGTTAAAGAAAAACAAAAAACACACAGTTTAACACATCTTTTAAGATGTGTCAAAAATCAGTGTCTGTTTTCTAGGAAGGTGAAAAGAAGAGTGTTGCAAAATCAATAAACACAAATGAGAAATTAATTTCACCAACTCATCAGGTGGTTAATCATTTGCAATGATGTGGCGAGGAAAAAAAAATCATTTGATTTAGACCTGATGGAAGAAAATAACTAGATTAATTCATTGTATAGAAATGTGTGTGAGAGTATATATATATATATATATATATATATATATATATATATATATATATATATCTTATTTTTCACAAAAAGATAGAGGAATGTTTACAATAACACCAATGATTAAAGCAATTTTTTATCTACAAAAGACTTACTGTTCCACATAGTCACCAGAATTGGTTATGCCTTTTGTCTTGTGATTTTTTTTTTTTTTTTTCAATTCTTGGGGTGACAGCTGTTCTGAAGCACCTGTAAATGTGGCTTATACCTGTAATTGTTGCAACCACTCTGTGCACTGCCTAATGGTGCATTAAAATTTTAGTCTTTATAAATGTGCAGCAAGCCTCAGTAAATGTTTGTGGGTGTGACAGACATACACATGGAGGGTTAAAATCTTTTTGGCTCTACTTATTTTTCAAAAAGTCCTAACAAATGTTCATTCATCTGTTTGTGTGTGTGTGTTATTTTTTTGTATTTTTTAATGGCTTCTATGTCCAACATGCACAGTAATTTTCTGAAATGACAATCCAAACACTTGAAGGTTCACAATCTGACCCTTTATCAACTATAAGTAAATAAAAGGAGCACATACGGCATTCCATAGCATTTGGTATCTGCTTGCATTTGACTTAGTCTCCACATTAAGCCTTATTGCAACTTCAATGGAGTCATGCTGTCATATCTGGCCTGGAACTCCCCAGTCCTCACTTGATAAGAATTCAAAATAAACTGTGTGACCTTGTGGTTGATGAACGATATATTATTATCCACCCTATAACCCTTTTCCCACACCCAAAACATTGCAAGTCTTGTGCTGCTCTTATTGCCATGGCATGTGTTCTGCTGATTTTTATGTGTCTTTATATATATATATATATATATATATATAGCTTGATGTAAAATAACAGCTAAAATTTATATTGTGAATAATTATATATCTGGTTGTAAACTCATAAAAATATATGAAATAATTAGAAATAAGGTAGTCTTATGTATTTCAAGTATATATGGTTTTGATATATGCTGTGTGTACTTTTTCATATATGTTAAAAGTTAAGTGATTACAGTTGTGCAAACAACTTTGATTTGACTATAAAAGAAAATGGTATCAGATGAAACCAGAATCTATTGTAGAGAAGCCAAAGAGAAAAAAAATCAAAATTCCATGAGAATTTGAAATTCAAATGAAGCTAATACTGAAGTGGAGACCAGACAAAGCAAAAAGATCTGTCGCTCAGAGGATGTTGATCTTCCAACAAGTGGCAGTAGAGAAAAGGTGCCAGAGAATTAAATAGGAAGAACAAAAATTTCTTGAATTTGAAGATGAGTTTTCTCCATAATTACTAAAGGACTTGGATCAATTCCAAAGAAACTTGCAAAAAGACTGAAAAAAAAAAAAAAATTCTAACAGCATTACTAAATTTGATAATTTCAGTCTGAGTTTTCTAGGAAGTGCCATTATCATTATTTACCAGCAGATTAGTCCTCATTTCTGTTATCACAATTAGAGAGCACAATGGCTGTAACATTGTGATAACAACAAAGATGAAGACAATTGTCTGCTATAAATAATGTAAATAAGCAAGAGTGAGTAGAGTGCTTGAAACACCATTGAATCATTTTCTCTTGATGTGAAAATTCAATGATAATAATAAATGACTTAAAATTAATCGGTCTCTTGGTTCTCTGTCGGATTTGTTGAAATGCATAAATTATGAATAAATGTATGATGCAGAAACTTCAGTTTATAACAAGTTACATTTATTTTATGACAATATATTTGCAAACTCTGTCTATAAATGATATAGTGAAAAATATATATATATATATATATATATATAGGAAAGAATGAGCAGCTCTGAAAGAGTCTGCCCAAAAGTAGCCTATTGAAGTTTGTGTGCAAACACGTGAAACTTGTAGTGGCCAGTCACTGCCTACCTGGTTTTTAATATATATATATATATTAGTAAAGGTAACAAATCCATTGGTATATTATCCAAGTAGATCTTAGTAATATAAAATATTAAAACTGATCCACAAAAAGAGCTCAATGTATTTATTATAATAGAGCAAATAATTAATAAACAATAAAATTCAAAATCACCTCATTTAGGGGATAGCCTATTTTGGCAGACAAAAACACCAGTCATCTATCTTATCAACCCTGGTATGGACTGAGTTCATGTCAGAAATAGAAATTTAAGTGTGAAAATTTAATACAGAATTTATCCATTTCAATGTTTCAGTCAGATGAAAGCTATGAGACGGGTCAGGGGAGAGTGGAAGGTATTTGTCTTAAAGGGAAGAAGTTCTATAAAATGAAACCCAAATATTAACCTTATGACATTAAAGCTTAGTCATCTGCAGTAGTAAGGAATTGATTGAAAATTAGAGTAGCTAATTGTACATTTGTGAATTTGCTCAAGACCTGCTCGTTAATCATTGCAATACCACAAGGGATCACCTGGCTAAAAGAAAATATATGATTAACAATGGATCTGTGTTGACTTTCTTCGTTGTATGAAGACAGGAATTACAAAATTAAGTTTTAAGAACAAAAAGATAGAATTAGATAGAAAATGCTTTTCTCTTATTCTATTGGTCAGAAAATCTTTTTCTTTTATTTTCATTGGCTAATGTTGTTGGGATCTTATTTATTTGTAAATTCTACTTTCGTTGTTTGATTTCCTTTTCTTGAATTATGAAGACAGTCACTACAAATCAAATACATGCACCTTCAGTCAGTTGAATTTTATTTTTTGTATAGTGACAGAGATTTTTAAATGACTTATTATTTTTTTACATTATTCGGACTATTGTCCTTGTCTTTGTTGCCATGTTTATCACAATGTTTCGGCTGTTGTACTCACACTCGGCATCAGATTCAGTCACAGGGCCCAAAGAGTATGAGTTCAATACCTGGTTAAGGCAGTGGAGAACTTTGAGAGGGGAATTAACAGAAAATAACCCAGCGAGCGAAATAAAGTGTTCAGTTCGACATTCCAACCACCTGAAGAAGTCTGGAGTGTACAACGGCTGAAACGTAATAAATATCGCAACAAAGATGAGGACAATAGTCCAAATAATGTAAACAGTGTACATAATACCTCATTTCAGAAATATAGACAGATGCTGAAGGGTCGAAATGTAATAAATATGGCAACAAAGATGAGAACAATAGTCCGAATAATGTAAATAATGTATATAATATCTCATCTCAGAAGTATAGACATATATTTTTTTTTTTTTTTTTTTGTCTTCCTCCTTCTGCTTCATTTTGCCATGTCTCTTCAAGATGTGGGCAAACATGCCACTTCATAACATCCTATCCTTTGTAAATCTTAGCTGTCTGTCTATTGATCTATCTCTATGCATTTCTATTTGCCTCTTTATCTATTTATCTATCGATCTATGATATGCTTCTTCGGAGTGTGTTGTATCCAGGATATCCTATGTAGTCGTCAATCTTCTTTCACCAATCTTTCATTCCAAAAATTTGCATCTCCAAGGATCAAAATTTGAAGGAAGAAAGAAAGAAAAGAACCATATATGCAAGGGTTTGCTGAAAAGTTCTTGACTTTGCCACTTGGTCAGTAGAGATTTTTTTTTTTTTTTTTATAGCTCTCTTAAGTCCTGGCTTTTAAATTTTATTGAATCTCATACTGTTTACATGATAAACTCCATTACACCACTTTCTTTACCTCATGAATTTCCCAGGGCAGATATTCTTGTGTTTTTATCCATATTCATAATGCAAGAATCAAATATAGTCTGCTTTTTAATTTTTTTTTCTTATTTTAACTGTTTGGCTAAATTACTGTTTATTAAAGCTAAAATTTGCCATTGATTGCAAATGTAAATTGTAAAATGAAGGAGAATTGTATTTCTTTTGCTTGTCTTCCATATTTTTAAGCTTTATCGTTTTTTTTCTTTTCAGCCTGCCTTTCAGTATCGCATGTCTCAGTTCTTGGATTACCAGGTTTTAGTACAGTAAGTATAAAACTATTGCTTATATTCAACTGCATTAATTCTAGGATTACTTGCCTACAACATGTCTTGAAATATCAAGAGATTTTGATTGAGTCTGTTTCTTTGAATCAAACTAGTTGAGTCGGTTCATATGTCACACTTGAAAAGCCAAAAAAAAAAGTTTAGATAAATAGACAATAGAAAAGTTTGTCTTCATCTTTTTCTTTTAGTTCCATTCTTTAAAGCAAATGATCTTTTGTTTTGGCAAACTCACTAAGCATATGAACAACATCTCAAATGTCCTCAACTTGAGCTCAATAAAAAAAAAAAAAATGAAAAAAAAACATTATTCTAGTAAATATATATCATATATATTATAATGAGGCATGTGTTGTTAAAGACTATGGAACTTTTCCATTTAATAATCTTTTCTTTTTTTTTTTTCTTGCATTCTTGCAAGTTTTTTTTTTTTATATTTGGGTTGAAATTGTTGAAAAAATGACCCTGGTCCTTGGTGTTTTGCCAGTACTTTTGGTTGAACCTTCTTCATAGCTGTATGTTTTGGTTTGAAGTAGGTTGCTTATAATTTTATTTTATAGATAATATTTTGGGTATTTCGGCAGTGTCTTTGGATTAGTTCATTAGTAATTGGGAGGGGATTAGTATTTATTATTTGGAGGATTAGTTCTTAAAAATATTTGAGATATTTCCGCCAGTATTAAATGCTATTTTATTTATGTTGGGTTTTTGGTTTTTAATTGTGATGGCTTCAAGAATTTGTAAGTGTTTTTTGCATTTGTAAAGGATTTTAGTATTGTTGATTAGGAGTTTTCTTATATCCTAGGATTTGAATCTGTTACTAGTGGTACAGGGTTTTGTTATAAGGTAATTTTTTATGGCACTGGTGTCATTAAGATGGTTGTGTGTTTGATGTCTGTGCTAAAATTATTTTGTGAGAAACACTCTCAAAATGGGCATGTAAACCTATACACTACGTTGGTTTTATTGAGGAACAGTTTGTGGGGAGTAGTATTATTTCGGACAATTAGGTTTGAGGTTTAAATTTGGTGTAGTATATTATTAATTTTGTTTTTGTTGTTGAATGGGTTTTAGTGTATCTGGATGGTGTTATAGCTAGTTCATAAAGTTTGTAGTTGCTGTACATTTTGATTTCTATAGAAAAGCTTAATAGTGTTATTGTTGTTTGTTGGTCTTTTTTTTTTTTTTTCTTTGATATTATTATGAATATTTAAAAGATAGTGTTTTATGTGCTGGTCAATTAATTTATTGGGGAAATTGTTGTTTATGAGTGTTTTATATTGGTAAGTCTTTTGTAAAATATTGTTCTGCATGAGATGTGAAAAGCTCTATTGATTAAGTTTTTGGTTAGAACTATTTTATATTTATCTGGACATTCACTATGTAAGTTGAGCAAGCAGAAGTTTTTACTTGTCGCCTTTTTAAATATTGATGTATTAAATGCATCTTTGTTGTTGGAGTCTATGTGTACGTTGAAATGGTATTTTGTTATTCATATTTAGTTCAACTATATTTTAAAATGGAGTTTTCCTCAAAAGTTCATTGTGTTGTGATTTTATGTTATAAAGATGTCGTCAATGTATCTAGTGCATGTAGTAGGTTTGGTTATATGGTTATTAAATATGGTGTTTTCAATATGTGACATGTACAATTTGGTGAACATAGGACCTAGAGGAGAACCCATTGATGCGTTGTCGATTTGGGTATATATTTTTCCTAGTAAGTCGTAGAAGGGAACTTGTGTGGTGCATATTAGTGAGTTTCTTTGTGGCAAGGGGTGGGGAATTGAAGGTTGGTTATAGACATTTTTAGTAATTATTTCAATGGTTTTGTGGATGGCGACATTAGTGAAATGGTTTATAACTTCAAGGGATGCTGTTATACAGTTATTGAGGATAGTGGAGGTTAAGATTTTTATGAAATCACTAGTCGATTTGATGTTGTATTTGTTAGGTATGTATGATTGGATTATACTGTTAATGTTTGGCTATTTAGTATACAAGATTAGGGATCTGTGAGATGATGGGTCAGAGGGGGTTACCTGGTTTATGGGCTTTTATCCCCCCCTCCTTAGATATAATGTGTTGATAATCACCTATTATTTTTGTTAGTTTATGGAAACCAATTTCAGCATTGTTGGCAGTAATGATATCAATGAGGTGTTTCTTAAGCGAATTGCTGGGTGTTTTTGTGAGTTTTTTAAATTTAGTTTTGTCATTGAGAATGTTAATGATTTTTGTGTTTATAGTCTTTTTTTTTTTTCTCTTGAGAATGATGTATATGTTAGCTTTATTGCCTATTCAGATTGTAACGTCAGGGTTATTATAGAGTGTATTTGACGTTTGTTTTAATGCTAGGGTGAGTAGGTGTTTTTTTGTGTTTGGGGCTAAAACCATTTTTGATTCATTCAGCTTTTAATAGGTTTCAGAGGTTTGAATGTTTATTTCGTTTTTGTTTTATAAGTCTTGTATTTGTTGAAAGAGGATTTTGAGGGGTTTTTTTTTTTTTTTTAGGTTGTTCTTTTGGGAAAGGTGTCAATTAAGGCCTATGTTTAATATTTACTTTTGGTGTTCTGTAAATTGAGTATTGGAGAGATTTATGTATTTGGATTTGGTGTTGGGTAGAAATATTGTGCCTTGATAAAGTTTGTTTAATTTTTTGTTGATTTTCAATTTTAGTTGCATTTCTTCATTTGTTAATGATTGGGAGATTTTTTGTTGGATTTCATTATATTGCGTTTCTGTAGTATTGTTGGCGAGTGATTCCTTTATCTTTGTTAAGCCAATGCTTAAGTTCATGATGTGTGTGTGTGTGTATCATACTTATTATAAAACCCAGGTTGTGTGTGTGTGTCTGTACGTTTATATATTGGATTGGATTTTCTACATTTTTCAACTGATTTCAACAAAACTTCACAGGACCTACGTAAAATTACCTTGCGGTGGTTCTGACAGTGCCAAAAATTGGAAAAAACACAATTTGAAAACATGATTAAGAGGCATCACTTTTGTGGAATGAAAGGGGGACAACTCATATCGAGTTTTACTTATAAAACCCAGGTTGTTTGTGTGTTCGTTTATATATGGGATCGGATTTCCTACATTTTTCAACCGATTTCAACAAAACTTCACTTTTTTTTGGCAGGTAGTGTTCCTTATTGTCTTTCACACTTTTTTCTTTATTTTTACATTCAGAATGCTTTAAAAATTCCATTTACAAGACAATTGTTTATAATAAAATTCTATTCAATCTGTAGAATCATGACGACTGAAAACAATGTTTTTGTTTGGGTTTGACCAATTCATAAAAAAACTAATTAAAACATGCGTGTCCATCAACCTTAAACAATAATTTTTGTCAATTTTATTTTTCAGTCTTTATGATGGTCGATACTTGATCTATCTCTTACTGTTACATCCCCGGGCAATACCGGGCTCTACTGCTAGTATATTTATATAAAAAGACTCTCCCGTAGTATTTGATATATGAAGGACAAGCAGCTCTGTTCCTAGGAACCGAAAGCCAGATACCAGCACATATGATTTGATTATAGTTGTGAAGGCTTTGTGCAGGACCAACCACACTTTTTGAAGCTCCGAATACAGAGACTTGGTGCACGCTGTGCTATAAAGTTCCCAAACGACCTTCCGCAGGTTTTGAATTCAGAGTTGTTGTTCTCCTAGACCAGTTGTCATTCAAGGCTATAGAACCCAGTCTGTCCTACTATTTACCCATAGATGGAGGGAGAAGAAGATTAATACCTTTCCCAAGTGTGTGTATATATATATATATATATATATATATAAATATATAATACTAAAATGTTGGGATTATCTCACCAACGAGTAAGGGAGGGGGGAAAGGAAAGATGGTTTCAAAGCTTGCAATGAAAAGTCTGACATTGCTTACAAGCGAAGTCTTCCTTGTAATGGTAACAAAAGTGAAATGACTAGTAACACTCAGTACTCTCCTCTGCGTAACAAGTGAGCTCTACAAAAGATCTGTAGAGGAAAAAGAACTCAATTTGTGACTGAAAGTAGCACCTTTTAAACTCTCATGGTCTCGTTCAATGTCATATGACAAGGCCAGAGCGTCTATAAAAATCATCACTCCTTTGGCCCTGGTTCGGCCCGGGAGAAAAATGACTATTTTAGACAATGACACTGCCAGAGCACATACTTCCCCCTCCCGACCTACCGTTGGTGAGTACAATACCTTGTTGTTTTTTTAATCACCCCAAAAACTCTAATCTTGTATGTTTGTTTGTTCCTGAGAGACAGCTTAAATGATACATAATATCACAACCAATTTAGCAGCATATTGTATTGTAAACCCTCACTGAATGCAGTGTTAAATTTCATTAAAATTAGACAAGGGGTTCTTGAGCTTGGTCCGTCTTTCTCTCTTGATGCCATTTTAAATAGGAGATTCAGTATTTGTTTTCAATACACATTCTTATATCAATCCATATATATATAAACAAACACCTGAATATTATAGTCCAACTATTATAAATTTAAATATGACACAACATATATTTATACAATTCACTACACATTAGAACTCTATTTTATAAACAAATATCTTGGATTTCTGCCAAGTACTTGATAAGTGAAAATGTTATGTGGGTGTGTCATTGTAAAATGTAATCTGTATGGCTGGAAAATTGTATCACATGACTTGATGGCAAAGAAATAGATGTAAGCTGGTTTGCTGCCATTATGTATTTTGAAATAACTGAGAAAGAAACAAGTAGGTATAATAATAAAAATATAATTATTATTATTATTTTATTATTGTGTTTGATCTAAGTAATATTGTAAAATGTGAGTAATAATAATTATTACAATAATTTAAAAATTAAAATATATATAATTAACAATTGTCATATAGGAATAAAATGTCACTGCTGACACTGGAGTTTGAACATGGGTAACCAGAGAGCAAACACAGGTGATCCCATTTCGAATAAGTAGATCATG